CCATATGCCCATGGAAGCACTCAATAGCCTAGTGCTCCTGACAGTTGCTCAATGTTTCATCGTTCAAGATCTCCATCGGGGTGTTGGTCATGTTGAACTCAATAAATTTTAGTGCATATGCCCTGCAATCAGCACTACAATAGGAGGAAGACATTAGCATTAAAATCAGCTTATAGAACAATTGTATTATGTAAGTTTTATACAAAATTTATCTTGAGTCATTTGTCGGGACAAGAAGGCGCTTGAGTGGCCACTTTCCTATCAGTAGTTCATCACCTAAGTGCTGAAACATCCCGCTACTGTGCAACAACCATTGGAACAATATACACAGAGGCTACAACTCCGTCTCCAACTGCCTTTCCCGACAAATACTTGGGCTGTAGTCAAGGATTTGTAGCAAGCCCTCCTCTAGTAGTGCGATGACGGTTATCCAATGTATAACCTTGATGTTCATGATGTGGTATACTCTTTTAATGTTTGCCCAACTGTTGTCATGTTTGGGCCTTTCCCTTGTATATACTACATCATCCTGTCATCAAAGTGAAAATAATCAAGGACACCGTTGAAGTGATCTGTGGCCAATCTTTTCCGCTTGCCTCCCCTTGTTGCACCTCTACCATTGGCCTTTGTCATTAAAGTGTCATATGTAGTTACTAGCATTTGGCCAAAGGCCACATCAGTGATGGCATAATGTGGATACAAAATATCACCATTACTGCTTTGTCGTAGCCTCATAAGTGTCAATACCTCATCGATGTGTTACATCAAATAAAAACAACATGATAAGTATACAATACCTCATGGAAAACATAAGCAAAAATAAGGGAAAATAACTTACCGAGTCGTCGAGCCACCTACCCATTGTTAGCATCTTTTCAAACCACTCCTGGGGATAATCTCCAGTCTTGCACTTCACATGCCCATCACTTCTAGAATCATTGTAATAGGCATAGAAGAGTTTTTTCTTTTCCTCATCTATTAGCCTATACAAATCGATCTTTAACTCCTTCGTTTTCATTTCCCCACTTTCTTCGCGTCCTGCCTCACCCTTCTCCATTTTCACTTTCTCACTTCTTCTGCCTTCCTCCTTACCTCCTCCATTTTTGCTTCTTCACTTTCACGGACTTTCTCATTTTTTTTCTTCGTTTTCCTCTTTTTTTCCATACGTTACTGCCGTGTAAGGAGAAATTATGTGCTTACTCTTTCGGCTCTCTCTTTTATGCTCAGGTTGCACTTTAACCACTTTCAATATCCTACCAATTTCCTCCTCCACCCTATCAACTTTCTCCACCACTCTATCAACCTTCTTCTCCACCTTCATTCGCTCTTCCATCTTCTCAAACCTCTCATAAATGGATGTTATAAAACTCTCAAACAGACTGTTTATGAGGTCAACCACCTCATTCTCCCGCCTCGAAGCCTCGGCAAAGCAATACTTGTTGTACCGGTTTTCCAATTGGGTGGAGGCGTACGATTGGAGCTTCATCATCCTCGGTGTGAACAACATTCTCAAGAAGTGGCATAGCAACTGCACTCACATGCGTGAACCCTTCTAGGTCCCGCATTAGGCGATCTATCCCTTCATCTCCAATGCTTTGAATGATGTAACATACTCCTCTCCTGTTTCACCCCTAGTAGCGGTGAGGAAGGGACGGGTGACTCCCTACAATAAGAAAAAAGATCAATCAAATTTAAGCCACATTTAAAAGCAAGTGCATATTCATAAGATTAATCCTTTAATCTTACCCGAGCCACTTGAATTTCGATTTCTATTTTGTCGTAATCCCAATGGGTACACTTCTCGATGTGCCACCACAACATCTAAGGAAATTGCGGTCGCTCATCCGAAGTCTTCATCCTCCCCCCCCCCCCCCCCCCCACCTTAGCCAGACAGACGGTCTCATACATCCAAGCCTACATTGTAAAAAACAGTTCATATCATATTAAAACACATATAATACAAAAAATATAAAAAAATAAAGCTATTAATATTTACCTACATTACCCATGGGAGCCAAACGAATTAACGTGCTCGTTCTATCTTCTCGACAGATTGGCACTGCTTTAACGCCATGTCTTTTCCTTGCAGAGTCCAGGTTAGCTAAAATGATACCCGTCCCACAAATAAGCAATAAAGAAGTCTATGTTGCTTGCAAACCACCCAATCCATATTAACAGCTTTTGTTGAGTCAGAAGCCTTAGGATCGAATGCACGAATCATACCAAACCATTTTGAACTCTCAAAGAGTATACCGACCTCTTCTAACCCCTCCTCTAAATCCGTCCTGTAATAGACATCTTCCTCCCCCCCATAAAGCTATTAATATTCCCTACATTACCCATGGGAGCCAAATGATTTACATGCTCAGTCTATTCTTCTCGCCAGATTGGCGCTGCTTTACACGCCATGTCTTTTCCTTGCAGGGAGTCCAAGGTTAGCTAAAATGATACCCGTCCCCACAAATAAGAAATAAGAAGTCTATGTTGCTTGCAAACTTCACCCAATCCATATTAACAGTTTTGTTGAGTCAGAAGCCATTAGGATCGAATGCACGAATCATACCAAACACATTTTGAACTCTCTAAAGAGGTATACCCACCTTCTTCTAACCTCTCCTCTAAATCGCGTCCTGTATCCTCCCCCCCCCCCCCCCCCCCCCCCCAAAAAAAAAAAAAAACCCACCCTTTTTAGCCAAGTTATGAGCTGCCCTGCTTTCTTTATTCTCTCTTGCTTTGCCGCTCTTTAAATGCCACACATCTTAAGCTTGTCATCAAGGCATATTCCATCATCCCAAAACGTAGTAGCTTCCTATCCACCACGAACCATATTTCATTTTTTTTTTTGGCTTTTAACTAAGTGCAGCAACATATAATGCACTCCTTGTCCCCAGAACGCCTTTTTCCAATTTTTTCTGATGTTCACAAAATGATTGAAACAACTCTTTTTGACTTGGTCTATACCCTTCTTTTGTTCCCGTAAAATCTCCATTATTCTCGTAAAAACTTGTCAACTCGACCTAACTGTCACCCTTACGGGGAAGTACGGTACCTTATCGCTTACAACCTCTAACCCAGTCTTTATAATTTATACTTCAAAAAATATGCACAGTCGCTATAAACTAAATATTAGCAAAAAAAAAAAAAACCAAAACAACCAATTGGCTACCAATTTGGGGGATATGGACTTTGAGGGCATCGGGGAGTGGGTGTTTGTGGCTTGGAGAGGACCGGGGAAGCAAATGCAAGCCCTACAGAGGCTATTGTGGTAAGTTCCATGAGGTTGGAGGGCTGAGGATGGTAGGATATGCAGGGCAGCCCTCCAGCCCCCTATTCTGTCACCTCTTGCCATCCCTAGCCCACCAACCTCCCACAAACAACCTCCCTACGGTCTCCCTTGCCTCCCCCATCCTTTGGAACCCAAACAAAGCCACTCCCCCAATGCCGGCCAATTGCTCGACAAAACGCCCAACCACCATAACAATAAAACCAACTACATCTCCCCCAAATTCGCACAAATCAATCAAATTTCTCATCCAATTAAAAAAAAAACAAGTAAAAAATGTACTATTTCTTCACCGGCGTCCTCCTCCTCACCTAAATTCTCATCGACGTCCTTCTTTTAGAACCCTTTTTTAATTCTTCTCTCTATTCTTGTGCCACTGTCATCTCCTCTGACTCTAGACCACCTTCACTCATTGGATGATCCACCAGAGCGTCTTCTTCAACAGCGTTTGAACTGCCACCGCCACCGGAGTCAAAGATTTGGAGTAGGGTTGGGTTTTCCTCCTCTTTCTAAATAGCAGCCATAATTTTGTATAAGGAAGCTTTAGGATCGAATATTTGCAAGAATATGGCACTTTTGTTGCATGAAATGGCAGAGAAATCAAAGGTGTTCGTCGGTCATTTTTTGGGTATTTGACTTGATTAAGCGATTTTGAAGGGTGGGGGTCGTTTTTAATTTTTGAAATTTAAACAAACCTCTGTTAATTATAATATTACCCATATATGTTTAAATCCTTTCACTTTAACCTGTTTTATATGTTTAATGAATCATAAGTGTGTCACGTAAGTTTTTCTAAATTAAAAAATATTGAAAAATATTTTGAAGGTCATTTTTTTTAGAGCAAACGACATGTTCCCACCTAAGGTTTACCGAAATCCAAGGTTCATACCCTTGATTTGATTTATTCCAGATACCCACCCTTAATCTAACATTGTTTCTTTTATTTTAAATGGTTAAGGGTAAAAGTGTCAAAACCCATTTCTCTCAACTCACCATCGTTGACTGCTTTCCTTCTTCCCCTTTGTTTTTCTTCTTCTCATCTCTTCCAGATTCTCTCTTTTTCTTCTCCTTTTTTCTTCTCTTCTCTTCTCTCCACCAGATTCTTTCTCTTCTCCTCTTCTTCTTCTCTCTTTCTTCTTCTCTTCTCCTCTTTTTCTTCTCTCTTTCTTCTTCTCTTCTCTCCACCAACTGTTTCCCCTTTACCGCTTTCCTTCTTCTTCTCCTTTTTTCCTTTTCTTTTCTTCTTCTCCTCTCTTCCAGATTCTTTCTCTTTTTCTTCTCTTCTCTCCACCAGATTCTTCCTCTTCTTCCTCTTCTTCTTCTTCTCCTCTTTTTCTTCTCTCTTTCTTCTTCTCTTCTCTCCACCAACTGCTTCCCCTCTACCACTGCTGGGGAAAATGGAGGTTTTGGAGGTGGAAGGGTGGTGGTGTTTGTGGTGATCATGAGGACGGCCAACAGAGCTGAGATAGAGCCAAATGGGACTGAAATCGGGTGGTTGTGAGGGATTGCAATGGCGGTAGATGGGTGGAATGATGGTGGGTGGTGGTGGTGGTGGTGGTGACTTTGGGGTTTCGAGAGGGAGAGAGGAACGTGCTTGTGGCTATGGCTGTGGCTGTGGAAGGGAGAGAGAAGTGGTAGAAGAGAAGAAGGGAGAGATGAGGATGGGAGGGTAGTGGGATCGAAATCCGGTGGTGGTGAGGGATTGTAATGGCGGTAGATGGGTGGAATGGCGGTGGGTGGTGGTGGTGGTGGCTTTGGGGTTTCAGGAGGGAGAGAGGAGCGTGGTTGTGGCTGTGGCTGTGGCTGCGGGAGGGAGAGAGAAGCGACAGAAGAGAAGAAGGGGGAGATGAAGAAGAAGACGAAGATGAGAGGGTAGTTTGGTAATTGCTCTCTTAAGAATCCAACAGTGACTAACACTGTTAGTTTAAGGGTGGGAATCTGGAATAAATGAAACCAGAGGTATTACTTTGAGATTTCATCAAACCTCGGGTGGGAACATGTCATTTACTTTTTTTTTTTTTTTTTTTTTAATACAAACTTGGGAGGTCCGGGGGGTTAAATTTCCTCCAATACAGGCGTGAGTTGACTAACATGAAAGCAAGATTTACAACTCCATTCATTTCTCTTTCTGCTCCTCAGTTGATCAATTACTATTTCTGATTGCTTCTTATGGCGGATGCCACTGTTGCCAGAATATTGGAGCAACTGGCTTCAATCATTACGCAAGAGAAACAACAAGATGTGAAGCTAGTAGTGGGCGTCGACAAAGAACTTAAAATGCTGCCCACCAATCTTGAAGCCATTCAAGCCGTGCTCTTGGATGCAGAGAGACAGGTGAAGAATAGAGCTGTGAGAGACTGGCTTGACCGGCTCCAAGACACGTGCTATAATTTAGAAGACGTGTTGGATGAGTGGAAAATTGCTTTGTTGAAATTGCAAATCGAGCGAGTTCATGAAAATGTTCTTGTTCCTAAGAAGGTACCTTTCTTTCCCTTCTCTTGCTTCAATTACAAACGAGTCCATTTACGTCATCAAATTGCTAGCAAGATCAAGGATATAACTAAAAGTCTAGATATCATCGCCCTAAAGAGAGAAAGATTTCATTTTCGTCCGATCCTGACTACTGAAAAATTTGAAGAAGTACAGAATTTCTCCTCAATAGATGTGTCTGGTATATGTGGTCGAGATACCGAGAAGAATGCTCTAGTACGTAAGTTACTTGAGGGGGGTGAACAGGTACGAAACCTCCATATTATCTCAATCGTAGGTATGGGGGGAATTGGAAAAACCACTCTTGCTCGAATTGCCTACAATGATAATCAGATTGAAGAAAATTTTGATGAAAGAATATGGGTGTGTGTATCCTATTCTTTTGATGAGTATAGGATTGCTAAAGCAATCGTTGAAAGCCTAAAAGGTTCAACCTCCGAAGTTGTGGAATTAGATTCTCTTTTAAATATGATTCGTGAATCTATAGTAGGAAAAAAATTTCTTCTTGTCTTAGATGATGTTTGGACAGAGGATTATTCTAAATGGAAGCCACTCTATCATTGTCTGAAGAATGGTCTCTATGGAAGTAAAATTTTGATTACCACACGTGTGGAGACAGTGGCACGTATGATGGATTCAATCGACATTATCAACATTAATCCATTATCGGAGGAGAAATGTTGGGAATTATTTAGCAAAATAGCCTTGTCTGGTAGAACTCGTGAGGAGTGTGAAAATTTGGAAGAAATTGGTAGAAAAATTGTAGGCAAGTGTCGTGGACAACCTCTTGCTGCAAGGATCGTCGGAAGTCTTTTGCGCTTTAGAAAACATAGAGAAGAGTGGCTAAGAATCTTAGAAGGGTTGGAATTGAACCGGTCTGATGTTTATGAACAAGATAGTTTTTCTCTTCTATTATTGAGTTACCAGGGTCTGCCTTCAACGATACAACAATGTTTCTCATATTGTGCCATATTCCCAAAAGGCTACCGTATAGACAAAGAAAAATTGATCAAATTATGGATGGCTCAAGGTTTTCTTGGGTTAGAAAATAATACGGACATGGAGAGAGTTGGTGAAGAATATTTCAATGACTTAGTAACACGATCGTTCCTCCAAGATTTTGAAGAAGATAGTGATGGTAATATTTTATTTTGTAAGATGCACGACATAATGCATGACTTGGCTTGTTCTATCCGAAAGAATGAGCTCTTAATCTTAGAAGTCAACTCTCCGAAAGACCTACACAGAGATTTTTCTGTCCGGAAGTTTTATCATTCAACATTAATTCTAGGGGTAGGGGCTCCACTTCCTCTGTCCATATGTAGTAGTATGAAAAGTTTGCGTAGCCTCTTAATTCTATACGGAGTTACAAATTATCAGTCGATTAATGAAATTGGACCACAGTTATTTGGTGAATTGACACGTTTACGGGCATTAGATGTGAGTGGAAAAGTATGGTATGAGAATATGGTCTTAGACATTCCAAAAGAGATAGGGAAATTGATATATTTGAGATACCTTAATTTGTCTTTTCTAAAGATGAAAGAATTGCCAGAAGTATTGTGTGAATTGTATAATTTGCAAACTTTAGAGCTTCGTGGGTGTGCTGATCTCAAGAGCTTACCACAAGGGATGGGAAAGTTAATCAACTTGAGACATTTAGTAAATGAAGGGACTTCACTAACTTGCATGCCAACAGGAATCGAGAGATTAACTTGTCTTCGAACATTAAGTGAATTTGTTGTGAGTGGTGATGACAATGGTGACAAAAGCATGTACCCTGGAATCTCTGGCAAACTTGACACATCTTCGGGGGTCTCTTAGAATAAAAATGTTGGGGAATTTGATTGAGGTTAATGTGGCCAAAAAAGCAGAACTTCGGAATAAGGACCTCCTCTTTTTGAATCTAAATTTTGAAAAGGATGCAGAAGAAGAGAGGGCGAATCTGGATAGAGAAGGGAAAAGGATGGATAAAGATGAACTAGTTCTTGATGTCTTACAACCACCTCTTGGTTTAGAGAGGTTAGAGATTGCATACTACAGAGGTAATGTGTTCCCCAATTGGATTATGTCATTAACCAAGTTGAGGATGTTAAGTCTCCATGATTGCATGAATTTTACACATTTGCCTCCTTTGGGGGGACTTCCATCCCTTGCATCACTCTCTCTAAGGAGTATGAAGAGTGTGAAAAGAGTTGGCAACGAATTTTTGGGAATAGGAAGTGACAACGCATCATCATCTTCATTTATTCCCTTCCCCGAATTAAAATCTCTTGAATTTGTCAACATGGAAGAATTTGAAGAGTGGGATTGTGGAACAATCATGCCGTGCCTTCGTTCCTTATCCTTTGTCTACTGTCCCAAGTTAAAGGCGCTGTCAGATCAGATTTTTCGAATGGTAACACTGGAAGAATTGAACATCAATTGGTGTTCCATTCTAAAAAAACGCTGCACTGGAGTGGACTGGCCCAAGATCAGTCATATTCCTAACATCATGATTAATTTTGAAAGTGTACAAGGAGATTTCCAAAGAGATGTCTGTTAAAGTTTCAGACAGCTACAGTTGTAACTGCACAAGTAAGTTCTTCTCCTGTTAACTGCAATCTTCTCTTTGTCGATTTTTTCATTATATTATTTTTGTTAATGATTATAATTATTGTTACAGGGTTAGATATTTGATTCCAGAGGCGCATGAATTGCTTATTGCAGTGGCTATAGTGGTTTATGGCATTCAAGAGGGACAAAGCAGGCTGTTACTAGCTGGAGAAGAGAGGAAGATTTTACATTACCATTTTGCCTATGTTGAGTTTCCCGGTTTGGTTTTCTTCCTTCAAGGTACAGCTAGATAATTGAATTTTCAGTTAAATGGTTGATCACAATGTGCCTTCACTTATTTTGAAAATTTGCAAATTTTGACTCAGCAATATTCTGTATAAAAGGAATGCAAATATCAAGCAAGATAGTACCATTCAGGATGCATTGTTTCTTATGCCTAGGTCCAACATAACAGCTAACACATTACGGAGCGTGCAGGCAACAATCATATATTGTGAGTGGTTTTTCAGTTTATTGGCACAGAACTCATCTACTAACAGGTTTGCATTTTTCACCTTTTAATATGTCTCTGCTTTTCAAGTCATCCAAGTTTGTTTTCCTGAGCATGAACTATATATTGGTAATCTTAGAAACTTAGAAGTGATTCTCTCTATTATATATCATTTTGCTTTATGGTGGCTGTTCAAATTCACAGTTGAGGATTGACTTTGTAGGTGGAAAATGGGGTAGTACCCACAGTATGAAATCTCAAGGTACATGAAAGAATTTTGATCAAATTCATTAACCTGAAAGATTTTGGATCAATATTGTTACAAATGATTACTAAAATTCTGGATCATCAACATGGCTTCCTATTTTCCAGGAGCAATACTCCCCTTCCTGAATTTTTTCTCAAGCTATGCAATTACTACTCTGTCAGGACATATATGGATGATGGACTGATATGGTAAACGACTTACTGATTCTTCAAATATCAGATTAAATTTGAATGTAGTCGCCATTGTCATCAATACCAAGTCAATGATAAGTTAAGTGTTTCCAATGCAGTCTGTCAAGTTCAAATTGAAGAAAGCACCGAAGTTTGGATCCTCATTTACTGCAAACATTTAAATTCTATGATCAGAATTTGCCTGACAAAGACATCATAAAGGTACTTTGAAATGTTATTGACATATGCATCTGTTCTTTCTACCTTGAAAACATTAGGTAAATGTTGCAATTTCAATGCTTACCAAATTTTATTTTGTTGAATTAGTTCGGTTTCGGAAAACTTGCTGGTCGAGAATTAGTGCATCCTGCACCATCGGCAGCCTAAAAGGGAAATAACAGGCGCATATTGATCTCTCTGGTTGAGGCTACAGTCATTTATTCAACTTGACACTCGGGACCTTGAGCTTGTAGATCGTTTATTATTTCTGCTACCAAAAGGAGTTCCTGCTGATCTTTTTGCAATGAGGTCCACTCCACATGGGTGTCCAGCTCTGTCCGCTTGTCGTCAAAAAAAAAAAAAAAAAAAAAAAATCCTAAGCTGTTCGCGTAGATTCTAGGCGGCCCTCTTGGCCAAGATCGGAAAAAACATTCCTTGGCGAAATTTCAATGAACATATTGGCAACACAACCTGAAGGATGTTAGAGTCCGGATTGTTACTTGTACAATGATGTATGGGAAACTTGGTCGTCACCTTGAAGTTTTGTCAATCACCTTATTTATTACCTTACCAATTTTAAGTGTACGTTTGTTGTATTAGATTCATGGAATATTTCCATTGTTGGAACTAATTTCATGAGAGAGAATTTGGAAGCATAAGGAAAACTGAATTTAAATTTCCACTGTTTGCTATTTTATACTTGGAGAAGTTTGAGAGTACACTGTACACTCTTAGATACAGTTGTTTGGACAAATAATGATGGCGATTACGAGATGAAAGAAAGTGTTCTATCTTCCAACTCCCTTAAGGTTTAAAGAAATCATCACTTACCTTCTTTCGACAATGTCAAATTAACATGATTAGGGATGATTTTATGAAAAAGTAATGCAACGCATCCTAAACGTATCGTCGAATTACATTTAAATGATATGTCATCTTATTTGGATTGATATATGATAACTAAAAATCATCACGCTTCAACACCACACGGATAAGCACTTTGGAATAACTTTGGGGCCGAACGACTTGTGCATACCCAAGATTTATTCGTAACGACAAGTTGGTACCCAAAAGTTTTGAAACGACAAATAGGTACCTTCCGTCATATTCTGTTACTGATTTTTGTTTATTAATAGTGAAAGACTAAAATACCCTTCAAAGTTTTAATTTTAGGTTTTTATAAATTTAAAATTTTTAAAAAACCCCCCTAAGTTTGCTTGAGTTAAAAACACCCTCATATATAAAAAGTTTGTTAAATAACAAAACACCCCCCCAGTGCCAGTTCCGGCCACCATGCGGAATCTGACCGAAAAACTACTTACGACACAGACCCATCGGGTCTGTGTCGTAACGTGCCGATCTAGCTTTTCCTGTCAATCCGCCACGATCTGGCCGAAAAAAGGCAAAATCTGGCCGTCGAGCAACATCCAATCTGGCCTTTTCCGGCCAGATCCGTGGCTGATCTGCCGAAAGGGCCAAATCTACTGCCAGATCTGGCCGTCGACGCCGCAGAGTGAGTTTGTGCGGCGTTGACGCCAGATCTAGCCGTAGATCTGGCCTTTTCCGCCAGATCAGCCACGGATCTGGCCGAAAAAGGCCAGATCGACGCGTTACGACACAGATCCACGGGTCTGTGTCGTAACGCAACTTTCCGGCCAGATTCCGCTGTGGGTGGCCGGAATCTGGCAATGCATGGTGGGGGTGTTTTTTGTTATTTTACAAAAATTTTATACATTGTGTATTTAGTTAAATTTGTAAACTTACGGGTTTTTTAGAAATTTTTAAATTTATAAAAAACTAAATTCAAACTTTTAAGGGCATTTAGTCTTTCACTATTATAAACAAAACCACTAACAGAACATGACGGAAGGTACCTATTTTTCGTTTCAAAACGTTTTGGGTACCAACTTATCGTTACGACAAACCTTGGGTACGAGTAAGTCGTTCTCCCTAACTTTGGGGGATTATTGTTCACCAAATGTAGGGGACGTAGCTGATGATTTCAAATACTTCTAGGACATTGGGTATGTGGCTTAAACCTCAACGGAATAAACCAAAAGAAAACTGCCAATAGCTCTATTTAAGAACAATTCCTGCAACCAATTATTCACACCAAATAAACCTCAGTTTCTCATCTTTCAGCATCAGTTACGTTACCATCTTCCTCTTTGACCATGACTGAAATGATGGCTTGACGGACATGAATCAATTATCTTAATCCTTCGTGAAGAGTATACGGTAAGTCGAGGCACGGTTGTTGAAAAGAAGTCGATAAGTTCATCAAGAACTTCCTGCCCTTTCAACTTGTTCTTGATGATGCGCTGAACATGCAACTGAATGATGGCGCTGCTCGAGTTCAGATAACTACTGTGAAAGATACGTTGTATGACATTGACGACGCATTGGATGAGTTAAACGGCGGTCCAGAAGGGAGCTGAAATGGTTTGAGGCCTATTATTAGAAAGGTATGCTCCTTCTTCCTTCGTATCTGCAGTGTCATTATAAACCTCTGGTTTTGCGTCGTGTTAGCTTTCAAGATTAAAAGCCTGAATAAAACGCTGGAATATATCACTGAAGAAACATAAGTTTAATTTTAGCATGTTGAAGGGAATTGAGGGGAAACTGGAACGAGAAAGGAATCCCTCTTTTCCTGACCAGTTAGAGGTTTATGGAAGACTGCAGAAAGAATAATATTAGAATTTTGTTGAGTGAGAGTAGTCAAGGACCGAGCCTCCTTTCATCTCGATATTTGGTCGGAGGGATCGGAAAGACGTGCTAGCTCGACTAGTATTCAGATATACAGAGGTGAAAACTCATTTCAACAAAAGAATATGGGTGTCTGCTCTTATCCTTGTGAAGAGATTTGGATTGCCAAGCGATTCTTAAATCTCTAAGGGAATATGATGCATCAGATCTGGTCGAATTGGAAACTGTGTACGGCATATTGGCCGATTTATGGGGAAGAAATTCTTCTTGTCCTGGATAACATAAAAATCGAAGGTCTCAAATCATGGGAACAGTTGAATTATCTCTTAAGTGGTTGCCAAGAGTAGAATTTTAGTGACTGCACGAAGAGAATGCTGTAAAGAAGAGAGAGAAGCCACGTGAGAGAATGCTGTAACGGAGAAAGGGAAGACACATGAGGAATGCTGTAATGGAGATAGAAACCACCTTCACATAACATTAAGAACACTAACTAAGGAGGATTATTGGTCATTTTTCTGTCAACTTGCATTTCATAATAGAGAACATGTGAAATTTGGAAGAGATTGGTAGAAACATTGTGGACAAGTGCAACGGCTTGCCTATAGCTGTAAAGATTTTAGGAAGCCTTTTGAGCTTTAAAAGAAATGTTGAGAGTTGAAAACGTTTTGCATAGTGAATATGGGAACTTGCAGAAAAAAGGGCTGTTTCCACCTCTATTGTAAGCTATTATGTTGCCCATCATACTAAGAAAATGCTTCTCATATTGCCCATTTTCCCAAAAATTATGAGATGAGAAAAGTCGGTTAATCAAGTTGTGGATGTCCCAAAATTATCTTAAGGTAGAAGGAAGAGAAGATATGGAGTTTTGGAGAAGAATACTTTGAAAACTTAGTGATGCTCTCATTTTTTCAAGATTTTCAAAGAACACCTTATAATGGGAGCATAATAAGTTGCAAGATGCATGAATTAGTATATGATTTTGCTCAATTTATTGCAAAGAATGATGTTTATCATGGAGGTAATGATTCTGCAAAGTCTAAATCAGAGTCTTCTTATGAAAAAGTTCCACTATTAATGATAATATTTGAAAGAGAGGCTCTTTTCCAGTCCCTGTATAATGATAGAGAATTGCGTAGCCTTGGGGTTGAGCCAGAGGTGGTTTTATGAGTGATTATACTGGAAAGTTATCTGATCGTTAACATGTCTAAGGACATTAGATTTGAGTACCATGATAATGTTTGGTATGATTTAATTAAAGAGTTCCCAAAGGGATAAAAAGTTTATACATTTGAGGTATCTGAACTTGTCCAGGAATAGAAAGATAAAAGATTTACCTGAAACATTGTGCAGCTATATAATTTACAGACCTTAGAGCTCCATTTATGTACAAATCTCAAAAATTTACCTCAAGGGAGGAAAGTTATCAACCTTAGACATTTGGTGAATGATGAAACTTCAATAAGTTGCATGCCAAAGGAATTGAGAGATTAACTGGTCTTCAAACCTTAAGCGAGTTCATTGTGACTTATGGTGGTGATGTCAGCAAAGCATGTACCCTTGAGTATTTGGAAAACTTAAATCATCTTCGATCTCTTGGCATAAAGAAGTTGGGAAATTTGACAGATGGACAAGCTGAGAAAGCTAAACTGAAGAATAAGAAAAATCTCCTTGATTTGCATCTAAATTTCCAAGAGGATCAAGTAAGGCTACAGAAGGATGAAAAAAGGCTGGGACAAATAATCTGATGAGAAAGCTCTTGAAGCTTGCAACCACCTCCAAATGTAGAGAAAGTAGAGATATCTTACTACAGAGGTAAAGTCATTTTCTCCACGTGGTTATGTCATTAACTAAGTTGAGGTTGATTCATTAGATCATTGCAGAACCTTGAGATTTGCCTTCTTTGGGAAGATTACCATCTCTTGAATCACTCATTATACAAGTGCGAAGAAAGTGAAACAGTAGGAGATAATTTTTTGGGACTAGATGCCATGACATAACGTCATCTTCATCAATCTTTGCCTTCCCCAAATTAAAATATCTCGAATTTCAGAAAATGAAAGAAGGGAAGAGTGGAGGAGAAAAGGATGCCAAAATCATGCCAAGTCTTTGTTTCTTGACTATTGGATCCTGCCCCAACTTGAAGAGACTGCCCGACTTCATTTCTCAGGAACCCAGTCAGCTGGAATTGAAGATTATCTCATGCAAAACTCTGAAACAGAGTTATGATAGAAAGGAAGAACGAGAAAACTGGCACATGATCCCAACATCAAGTTTGATCATGAATAATCTTCAAATATCCAAAGAGAAACCGTTGACCAGATTTGACCTACAGGTTTTCTTCTCCTCTCTTTCATATAGTTGTATTTGTATTATCATTTTTATATTTTTTCAAAACCAAGTGCAGCTCATTGTACAACATTCATGATTCTTCAACCATTTTTATGCTTATTCTAAATGAAGTTATATATTTATAATGTTTTCTTTTCTTTTCTTTTCAAGTTAGAACGCAGTGATGCTATGCACGATATCTTGTAAACAAATGTTTTTCAATTGAGAGACATTAAGAGTAGCTAAGTTCCGTTAACTGTGCAATGGTTTC